TTATGCTACACTATACTATACTATACCATGTGATATGATATGATACGATACCTCAACTTACAATGCAACATTACGCTGCACTACACTACGCTGCAGTACACTACACTATACTACACCGAAATGTGCTGTACTCCACTGCACTGTGCTCTACCAGACTATACTTACTATACTCTACCAGACTGGTGATGTCTGAAGCGGTAATCCTTAGCATACCGTGCGACACAAATCTTGTTCCCTCGCAGTTGCGCTCAACATGTCCTGGATGGAAATTGAGTCGAACTTTCTGCCCTTCTGCCCGCTAGCGAAGCAAGACTTGTTCGAACCATTGCGCTAGACTAAACCCCNNCCCCCCCCCCCCCCCCCCCCTCCTGTGAAGGGCGTCTCTTTGACCCCAAACCGTAAAGCACTAACACACCCTAGACCCTAAACCCTTAAACCCTAAACCTTGAACCTTGAGTTTAGGGTTTGGCGTTTAGGTTAGGGTGTAGCAAATTAGGGCCCATTTAGGGCTTCCTAAACCCAAAGCTCTAAACCAAAACGAAAGCGGCACTCGTAGAAAAAGGGGACCCGCCGCCTCGACACTCAGAGTCTGAGATCGGCCGATGACCTTCGCAGAATTTCAGCTACAGTCAGGCGTGGTGTAGGGGCCTCAATGCTTCGAATTGGGTTTTGGGCTACAATTATACTGTAATACTGTAACTTTTTCCAAGGAACCCCGAAATAGTATTGGTAAGTATGTAGGCTAGAAGGTCGTAGTTTTTCCAACCCATCGTAGCAGGAAGCATGGCAGGAAATCTTGCGATTCTGGAGATTCTACCCGGGGCTTTGAATGCACTTCGAGCCTACAGGTGAAGGTCCATGATGCTGTGTCGGGTGCAGGCAAGACCATGAAACCACGCACCCAAAACGTTTAGGTTCTGCCTTGGTTGCTGCTCCACCACTGCTCACATTGCAGAAGTAGAACATGTCCTGGCAGCTCGGCTCATGCCCCGACAGATGGGTTCAGGGTTGAGGGGGATGTGGAGGATCCAGCAGCAGATCCAGCAACACCCGTCAAAATGCATTCGTCAAGATTCTTTGAGGCCAAAAGAGTTGCGTCACTTCAGTTTGGCCCGTTTGCTTGTGAACGCGACCTCAGAACTGATGCAAGCGGCGATCTGTGTGAAATCCCTCTGCAACGCAAGCTGAAGTGGCGATTCCCCCGCGTGGTTAGCTAGGTGCACATCGGCGCGGGCTGTGAGCAAAGTCTGCGCGATCTCCAGGCTACCAATCGAACAGGCTGCCAGCAAAGGAGATGTCCCGGCGATGTCTTGCTTGCTATGATCAGCGGCAGATGCCAGCAGCAGCCGAACCACGTCGCTATGACCGTTCAGCGATGCCGCCAATAGCGGTGACCTGCCACCTCTGTCGACGTGATCCAAATCCGAGCGCTCGAAGATCAACAAGGAAACCAAATCCATGTGCCCAATCTCCGAGGCAGCCAGCAAGGGTGAGATGCCCCGAGCGTCCGACTCCTTCGCTGCTCCGCTGGCGAGCAAAACCTCCACGACACGTAGGCGACCTCTCTCGCAGGCGGCTATGAGAGGCGAGATACCACTGCTTTCCGAGGTTTCCGTGCCGACGCCAGCACGAAGCAAGAGCTCTACTACCTCCCAGTGTCCATTTTCGCAAGAAGCCAGCAAAGGTGATGCCTCTCCATGAGTGCAGTCAAGGGCTGCCCTTGCCTCGAGCAGCATCTGCACCACATTGCTGTGGCCGTTCTGACATGCAAGCAGCAATGGCGACTTGCCCCACTCGCCTCCCTTCTGCCTGGCACCCCTCTGTAGCAGCAGGCGTGCGACCTCGACGTCTCCCTTCTCGCATGCTACCGCCAGGGCTGATCTTGCGGACATGCCCTTTCCATCCGTCTTGTCGAGGTCGGCGCTGGCGTCCAACAAAAGCCTGAGTAGCTCAGACCGGCTTCGACGGCTGTTGCTCTCTCCTCGCGAAGGGCCTCCGAGGCTTCGCTTTTCGGCGATGACCGCGGCGTCTGCAGCGAGCAGGAGTGCGAACTCTCCGCTCCTGTTTGAGATGTCCGGCTCAGCTCGGGCTGCAATCAGAAGTCGGGCGATGCCGATCTGATTGTTCTTGCATGCCACCAGTAGGGGAGATGTGCCATCCCTATCAACAATGTTGGTGGTAGCTCTTGCTCTCAGCAAAAGAGATACCAACTCCAGCGAGCCATGGCGGCAGGCAGATAGAAGCGGGCTGACTCCCAGGGTATCTGCAGAATCAGTGGTTGCACCAGCCTCAACCAACATTCTGGCAATGTCCACATAGCATCCACTACACGCAGCGAGCAACGGAGATGTGTTGAACTTGCTCGAGATCTCCATGTTTGACCGGGCCTGGAGATACTGTACGAATATACTATTCTATACCATGCTATACTGGACTAGGCTTTACTATACTATGACATATACTACACTGTAATATAATATGTTTGACAGGGCCTGGAGCAAAATCTGCACAAGCTCCTTTGGGCCGCCTCGCAGGCAGCTGAGGAACAAAGGCGTCCTTCGCCCCTCTCCTGCTGCGTCTTTGTCGGCCCCTGCTTCCAGGAGACAACGAGCTACATCCTGGGTTGCTGTTCCAGAACTCAAAATAAGCTGAATAAGGAAACCCTAGTATTACTATATCATGGCACTTAAACTCAAGTTCCTTACAGTAACAGCATCCCAGCATCAACGTGTCCCTCGCTGCAAGCGCAGTTCAAGGGCGCATTGCCACGCCAGTCTGCTTTGTCTACCTTGGCCCTGGCCTCAAGTAGCAGCTGGACTGCCTGCAAGTGGGACTTTCCGAAAATTGGGGATTATTTTGGGGTCCTTACAATAAGGATCCTACTATTTAGGGTACTATATAAGGATAATAAGGATCCTACTATTTAGGGTACTATATAAGGATAATAAGGCTCCTACTATTTAGGGTACGATATTAGGGTCCCCTATTTTCGGAAACCTGCAAGTGGCCGCGTGTAGACGCCGAGAGGAGAGCCGTCTCCTGTGGCGGTGGTATTTACAAACATACATACTGTTGATGATAAAGGCCCTAAACTATGGGAATTATGGCATATTCCTTGTTATGGGTCATGCAGGATTTATATCATCAACCGTATCTATACACATGGCTATGCATACACAGTACACCGCAGCTTTATTGCCTACATGGCGCATACTGTAGACTACATACTACACACCAACAAAACAAACAAGGATACATTATACACTACAACAAGCTACAAACTAGCTACTGTATACTACATACTAAATACCAAAAAACTAAAAACCGTGCGTACATATATATATATATACACACACTGTATATACTACAGACTAACACTATATACTACGTACGGTATACTGTATACTGTACACTATGTTAAACGTCCTGTGTATACTTACAAGTATTAGTTAATGTACACTGTATGCATGCTATATATATATATATGTATATTATATATATATATTTATTTATTTATTTATTTATTTATCGGTAGGTAGATAAATAAATAAGCAGATTGACACACAGACAGTCAATTGGATAGATGTCCGGATGTAAATATGCATATATGTATATGTGTATATAATATATACAAAAGCACCAAAAACACATACTTTACTGAAGCATTACCATGCAGGCTCCTGCGGCCAGTTGGCAACTTGATCCGGATCCAGTGGCGTCCGCAGCAAACTCTCAAGGCGATCTTGAGAATCAGTGGCCTCCCGAAGCTCGTTGGCCTGATCGCCTTCAGGGAATGCCTACACCTAAACACATAGACAAATAGGTAGAGAGGAACAGATGGAGAGACAGATAAACGAATGGATAGTTAGAGAACGTGCGTTGATACAATATTGCATTGTGCTATACCATATAAAGATACTTTATATTGAACCATGATTTCGTTAAGCTTCTTTGTGCTATACTTTTCTATACTATACTTTACGATACTACGCTAAACTCGACCACACTATACTATACGATACCAAACTATACTGCTATGCTGCACAATACCATATGGGACTGCACCTGAAATTACAATGTGTATGCTCCTTTTCATGTTTACATGCAAGTCTACACATACTCTCATGACTCACAATTGTACTTGCATGTTGGTTCATGCGTAAACTAGATAACATCTTGTATTCGCGTTTGTGTATGTGCTTCCTGCGTTTACATGTGTAACTTGTTTGTTTGTCGTATGCATGTATTTCTATGTGTTTGGATATTCATTTACGGGTGTGGGTATGTATACCGCAGTTTACCTTGGCATGTTATGATAAACATGTTACTTCGTGTTCCGTTTTCTTGTGCTCTAATGTGTTCTGTTACACTACACCATGCTATCTTGCCACATCACATGACAGCATGTCGTATTTATGTGGGTGTGTATGTACGTATGTATGTATGTATGTATGTATGTATGCATGTATGTATGTATGTATGTATGTAGGTATGTAGGTATGCAGGAAGCGTAGGTAGGTAGGTAGGTAGGTAGGTAGGTAGGTAGGTAGGTAGGTATGTAGGTAGGTAGGCAGGCAGGTAGGTAGGTAGGTGGGTAGGTCGGTCGGTCGGTGGGTCGGTCGGTAGGTATGTTTGTGTGTGTGTGTGTGCGTATTTCTGTATGATCTACTTAAGGACGAGCGACTGTCTGTCTGTCGATCTATCTATCTTTATATCTACCTACATACCTACCTACCTACCTACCTACCTACCTACCTACCTACCTATCTTTATATCTATCTTACCTACCTACCTATCTATATATATATATATATCTATCTATCTATCTATCTATCTTGGTGCCTACCCACCTACCTGCCTACCTACCTATCTATCTGTTTATCTATCTATCAATAGTGCGGCGCATTGCCGTCAAACTTCTGCTGAAATCTCAGATCCGAGCTAAGTACGGCGCTGATGATGAGGCAAGCCTGAGCATTGTTCCTGAATGTGAAGCGGACGGGCTCGAGTTCAAAGCTGTAGGGGTCTCGGGTTTGCGGAGTTCGCGCGAAATCGATGCGCTTGCAGAATCGACAGCCCTCGAGTGTAGCACTTTTCCTGGAATGGGGCAGGCCAAGGGCGGAATTTCACAACGGCAAGGTTCTAGAACGCGTCAAGCTAGAGGGGAACGCTTTGGGACACCAGTCAAGGTTTTCCGTGTGTATACACGCTGCTTCATGAAATCAGCTTTTATCACTTGAGGTTGCATGATTCATCGTATGCAGAAAGCTCTGCCATAGAAGCTAGCAACACACCATATACTGTATCCTGGGGCCTGTATCCTACAAAATATGCTTGTGCATACGTATATACATGTATATGTATGCGCATGTCTCTATTTGTGGGTATATGTACGCTGAACATACTATCTGTACGATGTATATATGGCCGTGAATATGTATAAACAAAAAAGTGTATGGACACATGTGTCTGCATGTATATGTATGTACATGTAGATGTATATGTACATGTAGATGCAGATGTGGTAGATGCAGATGTATATGTGCATGTACTACGTTATGTACTCTGTCTCTATATCTAAATCTACATCTATATGAATGCACACACACACACTCTATATGTCCTATACATTCTGTGCGTATGTATGTAAGTTCAGTAGATAGACCGATACATAGATAGATAGGTAGACAGACAGACAGACAAACAGACGGACAGACAGACGGGGAGATACAAAAATGGATGGATAGAAAGAAAGATAGATGGATGGGTAGACTGTTGACGGACTGATAGATAGATTACTAGATCTGTATAAGCACGCTCCGTAGGTGACATACATACATACATACATGCATACATACATGCACACATACATACATACACACCTACATACATACATACATACATACATACAGACAGACAGACAGACAGACAGACAGGCAAACAGACATACAGACATACACACATAAATACATTTCACATATGCACGTATACAATAGATATTCATGTACACCCTACTCTCTCTCTCTCTCTATCTCTCTCTCTCTATATATATACATATATATATGTATATGCGATATACGGCTTGATGAGTGTATATGTATATACACATGCGCATATGTATATCATTGTTCTAGGCATGTAGACTGTATATGATACCTGTATATATGTATATATATGTATACTATATATATATATACTATATATATATACATATATATATAAATATGTATATGAGTGTTTGCATATTCGATCATACGATCTTGGCGGCCTTCCAGGAAGGGGAGGATCAGCAACTGCAGGTGCCGGCCCCTGAGCTCAGCAATCGAGGTGCTCTCGCACAACACCTTTCCTCCCTCGAGGATCTGCTGCTGGAAACGACTTGCACCTTTTCGATTTTGGGCTTCGGGTGTGGGCTTGGGGCTGAGGGTTTTGGTTTTTTGGGCTCCATAAAAGCCAAGAGTGTCGGGGCTTGGGGTGTAGGACTTAGAGCTGATTTGTGTTGCACCCTGCAGTTCTAGGAACTTAATCTACCAGCAAGGATCTCATGAAGAATCGCAGTTTCGGTCAACCCCCGCCTACCAAAGTGCTAACGTGCTGCTTCATGGCCTTCAGCGTGTCGCCACGCTGTAGAGAGATGTCTTCGACTTCGGCATCGCCAAAGACCAACTCTTTGCCAGACAGCGTCTGGAGGCATATCATCTCGGCTGGTCGGCTTAGCTCTTCAGCCTCATCGGTCACCCAACCATCGGCTCCTCTGGGCGGCAACTTGCCTGATGTAATAAAAACACCATGCCTGTCGCGCAAGTGAGCAGTCTGCTACTTGCTAGTACTGTATTGTAGCGTCGCTGCTCTAGTTCGGGCCATACCGGCACAAACTGTGGCAGAATCATGCACCAAGCGAATCATGTGCCTTTGAGCAGAAAGACTCCAGGACGGAACATGTGCAATTTCAAAGTGAAGTTTCGTGTCCTGTGATCGTCACTTCAAGAAGATGAAGGAGCAGTAATCTAATATAAGGGTGCATAACAAACAGAATTGTATTACCTGGGGCCGCCGGCAGGATGATGGAACAAACCACAACCGCCACAACCTTACTTCGACTACATACTATAAGGGCCCTTTTAGGGCCCCGCATGAGCACAACCTCGCCTGAGCCTTCGGGTTGTGAACATCCACCATGGTGCAGAGGACCGGAATCGTGTCGGTTGCGAGTGTATTTCCCATGGCCTCGGAGTGCCAGCCATCAGGGGACCCTATAGTTTTGGGTTTAGGGCAGCTTAGGGTTTAGGGTGTAGGGTTTCGGGCTTCGGGTTTAGGGTTTAGGGCAGTTTAGGGTTTCGGGTTTCGGGTTTCGGGTTTCGGGTTTAGGGTTTAGGGTTTAGATAGACCCCAGTGGTCTATCAGAGGATCCTCCCTATAAGGACTCTAAAATTCCCCCTATGAACACGAGGATCCGTGCTGCCAGGACCATAGAAAAGGGGCCCCTGAATTTTCTGAACCCCGCGAATCACACCCTCAGCCGCTGTCTTAGACCAGAACCTGAACCCAAAACCCCGAAAGCCCATCACCCTAAAACCCTGAATCTCAACCCGGCAGTACCGTTGAAGGAACCCGCAAAAGATTGCAAAAGAACCCTCACAGGAACTCATAGAGGGACCGCAGACATCTGAAAATTGCGACGAGCATCTGGTCCAGCCCAAAAGGGGTGATCGTCCTCAGCCCCGAGCAGAACAAGTAGAGCTTTGAGCGAGGAGTGTCATTAACAGGGTTTAGAGTTTAAGGTTTAGCTTAGGGTGCAGGGTTCAGGGCTGAGGACAAACAGAAACTCCTTCAAGAGTTAGCAGGTAGCAACCCTGACAACCTTCCAAGACCCGCTGAAATTAGGCCGAGGCACGCTATACGAAGGGGAACGTGGCTGTGCAGACTTGTGCTTTGAGCCAAGAAGCACCCTTGCACATCACATGGGCGCTGTCTATGTCGCTTCTAGCAGGCGCTCAACTCAAGTCCTTACAGAGGAAGGCTTTAGCTTGCGGGTCCCTGGTAGGGTTACTATAAGGGTTACTGTTATGTTCATTTTCCTCGTCTCATTCTGCACTTCTTCCGGATGGGCCGTCAGCAGTCTTTGCTTCGAGCACCCGGACTTGCAATCTTTGTGCAAGATCCTACGCCGAATCGCACATAAAATGAAGGAAAGGACCGGGCACGAAGCAGGAAACTCGGTTCCCTCGTGACCTTGCACCTCTGAGCCTGTTCCATCTCCTTCGTTTCAGCATATTCTGCTGCCAGGCATTGGCACACTGTGCGAATTCATGCTGGCTCCATAGCTGCCGGGGCTGCGAAAACACTGAGGAACACCTCCAAAATCAACACCCCTATCGTGGTGACTCAAAAAAACAGACGGCCGATGGTCAAGAGCCAGCTGAACACGCAGGCATATTGTACTATATATAAGGGGGGTCGATGAGCGCTCAGGCGGGAACCGAAGCTCCGAGTCGAAGTATCTGAAACTCTTTAGGGACGGACGATGGTTGGCTGCCACAGATTCGGCTTCTTGGTGGTGGGGTGTTCAGGCCAAGTAGAAGAATGAAAACCCTAAACTTTAAAGACACAAAACAAACCCTAAACCCGAAGCCCTATCCCCTAAACCCCTAAACCCAAAGCCCTAAACTCTAAACTAGACTCTAAACCCTAAACCCTAAACCCTCAACCACACACCCGTGGGTCTTCCACTGGCTTCGCTTGGGCTAAGCTAAGCTCTCATGCTTCGAGCGAGCCGATGCTTTGGTCCGGGCTATACCCCATTTTGCTACATATTCTATGATACCATGTAGTGCTGTGTTTGACTATAATGTACTGTACTGTACTTCATTATGCTGCATTATACTAGATGATAATATATTAAATACTACTATACTACACTACATTATGCCATCTGACCCTATCTGACATCATCTGATTTACAGCAACCCCCACAAGGCGGCTGAACCGGAAGCGCAGGTCTCAGATGGACGTCACTACGTCCGACTTGGGGCTGCCGTTCCTTGCAAGCTGGACATTTTCGGTGCTCAGTCGCTGAGGGAGCTACAGTCAGAACCATAAACTATTCTACTGCGTTGTATTATGTTATACGATATTGTACTATATTGCACCATATACTGCTATCTTTAATATTGTGGCATAACATACTATATTGTACTAGACCGTGCTATATTGTACTAGTTTGTACTATATTATACGATATTGGAGTATTGTACTATAGTATTGTACTATATTCTTTTACATAGTACTATATTGTACTGTGTCGCACTATACTGTACCATATTCTACTATACTGTACTACATTTCATTATACTATACCATACTTTACTATCTTATACTATATGATACCTTTTGCAGCAGCAGACCGAAGAAGCTTGCTCTTTCCCTCGTACCTCTCTCACTCTCTCCGGCTTCTTCTCTTGGAAACGCTCCACGTGAAGGCCAAAGTGCGGCCTGCGTGAAGCCCAGCCTGGTCGCAGCTTCGAGCCCTCCTTTGGAAACCCACTATTTGAACCCTAAATCCAACACCAGTCAAACCCCAATCCAAACCCTAAACCCCAGTTCAACCCCGAAGGCCCCAAAGGCCCCAAACCCTTCTTTGGAAACCCTAACGCCCAAAGCCTCAACGGCCCTAAACCCTGAATGGCCCGAATCGGACGGGGTTCTCTGGACCTCCAGGACGTACGGACGCACATCCAACCGGGCCTGCGACAGCTTTCTTGGGCAAAGAATACTCCATCATTTATATATTTTTTATCTATTTTTCTAGTTATCTATTTATTTATTTTTTTTTAATTTTTTATTTATAGTCATATGTAATATGCATACCTTATACTAGACTATACAACATACAAACGTACTTGAAATATGTAATTAATGAAGGAAGAATCCTTGCACCGAAGAGAATCTGCCTGGCTGAGGGTGACTAGCCAGCGTTGTCGGCGGATGACTTGCCAAAGCTGTTGGCAGGGTTGGAAACTGCCCACTGATCGCTCGCGGCGGGGCTGGGCCCCACTGCGTAACAGTGGTTGTCTCTCGGGTGGGGAGCGGCCACTGCGTTGCTGCAAGAGCACTTGTGGTCTCACCTGCGGCCATGAACTGCTTCAGCATCGCTAAACATGTCTAGCATCCTGCCTGGCCTGGAAAACTTTGTGCCAAAGGTGAGCGTGTGGGCATCGGCCGAAGCAGGGAGGTCTGGCCCACGACATGCGGCACCGAGGGAGCCGGCGGTGTTTGTGGTGGAGCCCACCTCAGACTTGTCGCGGTGCGCAGCTTGTTATCCAGGGTCCCTGTAGGCCCTAAACAGACGAGGAAGGGCAGCCCAACCTTTTTCTTTAGAGAATTTCGAAGCAGAGGCCACGACAGGTGGCTGATGTCTTCCAGCGGCACTGTGGGCGAACGGCCTGATGAAGAAGACGCTCGAGAATTCAGGACAACGTGTTGGGCCGTAAATCCCAGAATCGTGGCAAAATGCTTCAGCATGTGAGCATGCTTTCCGTCGCGTCCGAATGTGAAAACACCTTCAACTTCTTGCGACACTGTCGATGCTTGCTGATCCTTCTCTCTCCACACGTCTCAGATTTGCACCTCCTGGGCTGGAGGCCGCTGTCTGAATCGCTTGGTTGACCATTTCTTGCGCCGTCCTCACAGAGGGAAGAGGGTTGACCTACTACTACCAGTACTGCAGCAAGAACAACAACGACAGGGACGACACCAGCAACAAAGCAACAACGGCAACAACAGCAGCAGCACAAAAGCCAGTAAAATCTCACTACCACTGCGACTGCTGCTGCTGCTGCTGCTGCTCCTACTACTACTACTACTACTACTACTACTGCTACTACTACTACGACGACTACGACGACGACGACGACGACGGCGGCGGCGACGAGGACGAGGACGAGGACG